AGTTAGAATCAGACTGAAGACAGAAACTTTGAGTTAGAATCAGACTGAAGACAGAAACTTTGAGTTAGAATCAGACTGAAGACAGAAACTTTGAGTTAAAATCAGACTGAAGACAGAAACTTTGAGTTAAAATCAGACTGAAGACAGAAACTTTGAGTTAAAATCAGAAAGTCCAGCCAGATAAAGATCTGTGAACTGATGGGTTCATGTGAGCGATGCATGTAGCTGACATGTGGAGTCATGATGGAGAACATGACCAGGAAGTGACAGTTCTGTTTCTGTGCTGCAGCTGTTAGCAGCTAGTTAGTGAGCAGCAGAGTTCTACAGTAAATAAGTACTAATACAAATACTTTGTTACTGTACTTAAGTAGAAATGTTGGTTATCTGTACTTTACTTGAGTAATTATTTTTCAGCCTAATTTTTTACTCCTTACATCTTCACACATTTATCTGTACTTTCTACTTCTTACATTTTTAAACAAGGTAGAAAGTAGAAAGTCGTTACTCCAGTTTAAATTCAGCTCATTGTTGTTATAAAATATTATCCTGATAAATTGTGGCTCCAGGAAAGAGTGAATTTAATATTAGTTGGATGAGAATTATAAATATTTTACCATTTTGACACCAAATTGTACACAATCCTTCACAGCTGCATGGCTTTAGAAAAATATATATTTTTGGAGAGTTCACCTCCCAATAAATGTCATTTGAAAAACCTAACAGCTCATTTTTACTCTGTACTTTTAATACTTAATTACATTTTATGTCAGATATTTACTTTTGATACTTAATTACAAAAACAAATCAGATACTTTAAGACTTTTTACTCAAGTAATATTCTTGGAGGAGACTTTAAATTTTACCAAAGTAATTTCATGATAAGATATTACTCAGTATCACTTTGAGGTACTTTATACAGCATGAGCAGCGTTTCCTGTCTGAACAGCGTCGCTCACTGAGGTTGTCAGGTTGTTGCTGCAGAGACTTCGAGCTTTTGTTGCAGAGCTGCTGCAGATGTTTCAAACAGCAGGAGTTGTGTGACGTCTGCATGAGAGCTGTCCTCTGAAAGGAAACATCTGATGTTCCAAATGTCCAGGTGTAAGAGCCAAACATACACTGTGGGCAACAACATAATGCAAACAACCTAGAATAGTTGTGCAGTTTTCAAAGATGGATTGTTTCAAATGAGTCACCAAGCAGCCAACAGTGGCAGCTCGGTCAGATCACAGCTTTATGTTGAAGGTAGAAACTTTGGTTTATTCTCCACAGGAGGGCGGGGTCGACCCTCCTCTCTGTTAATGAGCGATGATCCTGAACCCTGGGGCTTCAGAGGAGGCCTGTCTGGAGAGTTCCAGGTAACTAGATCAACACAATCATTTCTTGACGTGAAAAAAGTCTCAGAAGTGTGGTTTGTGTGAAGCTCTGAGCTGTAGAAGCCTTGGTTAGCTGTGTTCCTGTGTTTGCAGAGGATGCTGCCAGGACACGGAAACAAGGACCTTTTTAAAGAGCCTCCGATGACGCAGGTTTACTGCGTTCGCTCGTACAGCGAGGAGGACAAGGTGAGAATCCTCTGAGTCTCTGCTGGTTCAGAAACGTTGTTACTTAAATTAGTTTTCCTCTCTTAGACTGAGGTGCAGAGGATTTTTGAGGAAATGCAAAGAGAAGCAGAAGAACGCAGCCCTCTGATCAGTGATCGGTAAGAAACATTAATCCTGCACGTCGACACGGACAGAAACATTGAAAAGTATTAAATACTTTTCACACAAGCTTCATCATCCACAATATGACCTCATTATAAGGCTTGTTTGAGTCGGGGTTTCAAAAAGTAAAGAAAATCTACAACCTCAGCAACTCAGCCGTGCACTCATTTACTGTCCTGATATTTTATTTCTAAAGATGAATAATGAGTAAGAACTTCCTTTGATTTGAAAGCTGCAGCTGTTAGGAGTGTTTGTTGATTAAAACATGTTTTAAGGTAGTATTTTAAAGAAGTTGAACAGCTCTCATCATGGTTGGCACTGAGACACTTCTGGCTTCTTTTACAGGATAAGAAACATTGTTAGAAAAGAAAAACCAAAGTGACCTGATGTTTTGATCTGAAATCTTGTCAGTTTAACCAGTTCCTTCACTGCAGCTTGTCAGCAGGAGAGGTCCCGCCCTCGCCTCACTGTGCTTTTGTTCTCGAGGATGAACTTGGGATTTGTGGTTCTGCGCTGGCGCTGACTGATGCCAAAGCAGCTGCAGCTGAGACTCAGGTGATGAAGCATGATCTGATGGTTTTCTGTAAGAAAACACAAACATGAAACACAGAGTGGTGGACTGAATGTGCTCTGTTGTCTCAGGGAGAGAGAAGAGACTCTGTGTTGAAGGATTTTCCCTCCCTGGTTGCTTTGCAAGTTCTTCCCCGGGTCACTGATCCCTCTCCAGCCAGGCGCCTGATTGGTCAGCTGCTGTCGTCCATCCGGAGCAGCGGTAGGTGGAGACACCGCTTTAAACCCTTGTTTCTGAGGCAAGGGCGTAACTTTATGTCTACCATTGTGGGGGTTATGCTTGAAAACATGATACTGTACATTTTTAAATCAAGTCAAAGTTACCTAAAGACAACAAGAGAGTTGCATCTGTCTACTTAACCAGTTAATTTCTGTTAGGTTTGAGCAAATAATGGCAGTTTATTGTGGGGGGTATTTTAACTGGATCAAATTATTTTGGGGGTCATAACCCCCCTAACCCCCCTGCAAATTACGCCCATGTGTCAAGCTCGATTCAAGATGGCTGCCACATCAACTACTTCTGGAAGGGCGGAGTTTATAATGAGCTGGACGTGGTATCGAGCTGACTCTGAGAGTTAATCAGTTGCAGATGTACAT